TCAAGACAAACTTTCTACGTAATGTGGGTAGTTGAACTCTTTGTCGATCAACATTAAAATTCATCCCTCAACGGCCACGATTGTTCTGTCCGCTGTGTCTGTTTTGCTCGGCTACCCTAAAAACATATAAAGCTTGGATATTTAGTGAATTCCATTTTGGCCAAGCAAGAAGTTCATTACTTTAGGATCTCCACAAACCGTCCAGTTATATTCTAAACTTCAACCGTTTTCCAAGAACTGAGTTGAGTTGAGTTGAGTCAAGAATTGACATCACAGCACTCGGGGCATTTCTACGCATGCTCCGTCTTTATCTTCAGCAGCCAGCGCAGGGTTCCAATACTGATGGCAACGGTCACAATTCTACTTATTCCGTTGCTTATTCCCAAAGGGCATTGACCGCATTTGCCTTGTCGTGTATCAGTTCACCACCTAGTGTTGTAGATCCAGCAAATCTGACATTCTGTTTATTACCCATCACGCCGGCATGGCCTGGAGAAAAGATATAAAGTATGTTCACCACCCGTGACCTTTCCAGTGAAGCTTGCCACTCTGCTCGAAGCATCTCTGTCTTTATCTTTTTCAGCATGCTTTCAAAATCTGTTACAATTACGACATGTTGATGCATCTTGTTCTCTAGCCGCCGGAGAGCTGCAGTTGCCGCCTCCACCTCCATTCTCATGCTAGATGTTGTAGTGTCGTATGCCAGGATGTCTTGCAGTCTTTTCCCAGAACTGTGCTCATGTTAGCATACCACTCTTTCGTTACAGTAGAATTAGCAATTATTTGAAATTGTGGCCATATATGTTGCCATTGTGTTAAGAGACACCTTTCATACTTTTTTAAAGAGCTGTCAATAAAAAGTCACGACTAATTAGGCTTATAGCCTCTTAACATTAGTGCAAAATACAAAATTGTTTTCTTTATAAAAGAATGGTAGACAACCTTGCTGTCTGCTACGATCAAATGTAACTTTTTTTTTCAGTAGTCAGTAACTGTATTTGTTTCCATCTTGAAGCAAAAAGCTCTGAAGATTTCATGCAGGGGTATGGATCTAGGATCAGAAGCGTCATCGCGAACCATCTGCCGATTTGTGTGTGTGTGTGTGTGTTTGTGTGTGTGTGTGTGTGTGTGTGTGTGTGCATCGTTTATAAATATCGGTTGTGATACATCAATTTAAGATGTTGTATGTTTTATATCATTTACAGATGTTGTTTGTTTGATATCATTTATGGATGTTGCTTGTTTGATATCATTTATAGATGTTGTTTGTTTTAAATCATTTATAGATGTTATTTGTTTTATATCATTTACAGATATCAGTAGTCTTATATCATTCATATAACTTATGTGTTACTTCCTTCATATGCGTCGATTGTAACATTATTTTTTGATTGTGGAATATTTAACGATAGTGGTGTGTGACCACTTGTAGTTGCATTGTTTATAGATTTTACATGCAGCATACTTTATTGTGAGTGCCAGACTGTGTATTTTATGTGTCAAGTTATTTATAAATGTTGTGTTATATCAGTGATAGTTACTTTATATCACATACTTAATGCATGGTAATTTAATGGATGTTAACTTAATGAATGTTAACTTAATGGAGTTAACCTAATGGATGTTAAATTAATGGATGTTAACAGTCAGGGCATTTGTAAATGTTGAAAATTAGAAGAATTCAAATTTATACCGAATTACTGGTTGTGAAAACACTGGAGACAGTTAATTACCGACTTGACAGTACATATTACACTTAATTACTGACATGACAGTAATAGTAAATTTAATTACTGACATGACAAAACATAATACATATAATTATTTTCCTTTGAAGTCGGAGTGCATATGCCTAAGAGGCAAGGAACCAGCAGTCTGCATACAAATGAGTCAGATCTTTAAAACAGATGCACACTCAACACTTAGGTTCTGGAATAGGACTACAGTCCAGAAGTGGATGAACAACCAGAACTTTTCGCTAGAGTTTACAGCTGGTGAACGCGAAGAAGAAGAAGACATTCTATTACTGACAGGACAACATATAAGATAGTTAATTAACTGATATGGCAACACATGAGAAAGTAATTATTGACATGACAACTCTCAAAACAGTTAATTAATGACATTACAACACACGAGGTAGTTGACATGGCAAGACATAAGACAGTTAACTACCGACATGATAAGACACGCTACAGTTGATTACTGACATGAAAGCGCACAAGACAGTTAATTATTATTGCAACAAGGCATAAGACAGGTAATTACTAACCTGAAAAGACAAGAGACAGTTAATTACTGATATGACAAAACACGAGACAATTACTGACAACACACGAAGTAGTTGACATGACAAGACATAAGATGTTGATTACTGACATGATAAGACAAGTGACAGTTGATTACAGATATTACAACGCATAAAACAGTTAATTACTGTCACAACAAGGCATACAAAAGTTAATTACTAACGCAACAAGGAATGAAACAGTGAATTAATGATACAACAAAGCATAAAACAGTTAAATATGTAAGTACCGAGGCATAAAACAGGTTATTACTGACGCAGCAAGGTATATAACAGTTAATTACTGACGCATCAAGGCCTAAAATAGGTAATTACTGATTTGACAAGAGACGAGAAAGTTAATTACTGACATGATAACGTTCTGACATGATAACGTTAAGACAGTGGACTGCTGTCGTGACGACACATACAAGAGTTAGTTACTGACAGAACAACACAATAGACAGTAGGTTACTGACAGGACAACACATGAGATAGTTTATTAGTAACAGGGCAACACTCGAGGCAGTTATTTAATGACGTGACAACACATAAGACAGTTAATTACTGACCTTACAAGTCACGAGACAGTTTGTTACTGATTTAACAATACATGAGACAATTAATTACTGACATGACAATATACGAGACAGTTAATTACTGATATAACAAGACACGAGACAAGTTAATTACTTTTTTGACAGGACACGAGACAGTTAACCAAACATAACTGGCCGGCAAAAATATTCATTACTGAAATAGGAAAAAAGTATTCTCTATATATCCCAATTATAAACCGGGTGGGTTGACCAAAATATTGTTTAAATTACTTCTACTTCTACTGCTGCTACTACTATTACCACCACCACTACTACTACTGCTAATACTACTACTACTACTACTACTACTGCTGCTGATGCTGTTGCTATTACTACTAATACTACTACTGCTGCTGCTACTACTTATACCACCACTACTACTATTATTACTACTATTACCACTACTACTACTACTACTACTACTACTACTACTACTACTACTACCACTACTACCACCACCACCACCACCACCACTACTACTACTACTACTACTACTACTACTACTACTACTACTACTACTACTACTACTACTACTACTACTACTACTACTACTACTACTACTACTACTACTACTACTACTACTACTACTATTACTACTCGTACTACTACTACTACTACTACTACTACTACTATACTACTACTACTACTACTACTACTACTACTACTACTACTACTACTACTACTACTACTACTACTACTACTACTACTACTATGACTCAGACTACTACTACTAAACTATTGACAGGACAAAGAACTGCCCAGTGTGTTAAACTCTTGTAATACAAGATTGCCTATTATGTCCACAGGGCCCTGCTCCAGCCTCACAACAAAAATCCAAAGACAAGACTTCAGCGACTGTCGCAAGCAGGATCTTCCTGGATTACTTGTCTATGGCTTCATCTGAGTTGGAAGGACACCATCTGGTCTCCAGGTTTCAAAGTTCCACTTAGAGACCATATTCCGCCATCACCAGACTTAAGGGTGGTTTAGAGACCATATTCCGCCATCACCAGACTTGAGGGTGGTTTAGAGACCATATTCCGCCATCACCAGACTTAAGGGTGGTTTAGAGACCATATTCTTCAGTTCTCTCTCCCCCCTCCTCCTAGATTTCAAAGCGTCACCTCGAGACCATATAATCCAGCCCCTAGACTTCAAAACGTCACCTCGAGACCATACTATCCAGTCCCCAGACTTAAAAGAGTCACCCCGACCATATTATTCTGTCCCCACACTTAAAAGCGTCACCTCGAGACCATATTATCCAGTCTCTAGACTTGAAAGCATCACCTCGAGACCATATAATCCAGTCCCCACACTTAAAAGCGTCACCTAGAGACCATATTATCCAGTCCCCAGACTTGAAAGAGTCACCCCGACCATATTATCCAGTCCCCACACTTAAAAGCGTCACCCCGACCATATTATCCAGTACCCAGACTTGAAAGCGTCACCTCGAGACCATATTATCCAGTACCCAGACTTAAAAGCGTCACCTCGAGACCATATTATCCAGTTCCCAGACTTGAAAGCATCACAAGGAGACCATATTATCCAGTCTCAGGACTTGAAAGCGTCACCTCGAGACCATATTATCCAGTCTCCAGACTTGAAAGCATCACATCGAGACCATATTATCCAGTCTCAGGACTTGAAAGCGTCACCTCGAGACCATATTATCCAGTCTCCAGACTTGAAAGCGTCACCTCGAGACCATATTATCCAGTCTCCAGACTTGAAAGCATCACATCGAAACCATATTATCCAGTCTCAGGACTTGAAAGCGTCACCTCGAGACCATATTATCCAGTCTCCAGACTTGAAAGCGTCACATCGAGACCATATTATCCAGTCTCCAGACTTGAAAGCATCACATCGAGACTATATTATCCAGTCTCCAGACTTGAAAGCGTCACATCCAATTAATGTTATCCAGTGCCCAGACTTGAAGGCATCACTTGGAGATCATAATCTGCTATCCCCAGACGGGGTGATTATCAAACTGAAACTTCATATACCCTCGGGAACATCTTCAGGCTCCCTTGTCTGTGGGTTTCAGCGTCCTGTTAAAGGTGGCAACATGGAAGGTGCTTTCGGCGAAAGTTGAGAGCGTCATGCGTGATTCCCTAGCGCCTGCGTGGTTGTGTGCTGTGTTCCTCATGTGCTACAGTCGGAATGTGGGCTGGGCCCGGCAGCGAGTCAGGAGTCGTCTCTCCTTGTGGATCGACGAGGCCCAGGTGAAAACCCTCACAGGTAAATGTGTCCGGCGTGAGTCCGTCATGTGTCAACAGTATGTATGTTCACGCGTACCATTTGAGAGTGCAAGATGTGTTTACATTATAGACGTGTGCTGGTTGACACCTTTCCGTCTTTCCATACGATAGTGTTATATTGCGCTATGAGGAGGCATGGGAATCACAGCCCATGGCGATGACGAGTGTGACTAGCAAGACCCGCCCGTGTTAAGGAAAGTCTTCCACGATGATGGCATGGGATTTCAGGACCATTGTTGTCAACATTAGTGTTTAATCCGTTTCTTTTCAGACGCTCAACTTTCATTTTTTTTCTGCAATCATTTCTTCCTTGACTCCCATCCCTTCCTGGTATACCCTTTCCACACAACACAGTCCATGGCATTTTCTTCCCATGAGTCCACTTTATTATCTGTATCATTCATGTCCCGCCTGTATACATCAGACATGTGTACAGACGTAAGTAACGTGCGAACACAAGATGTGTCTACATTATAGATATGTGTACAGACGTAAGTAACGTGCGAACACAAGATGTGTCTACATTATAGATATGTGTACAGACGTAAGTAACGTGCGAACACAAGATGTGTCTACATTATAGATATGTGTACAGACGTAAGTAACGTGCGAACACAAGATGTGTCTACATTATAGATATGTGTACAGACGTAAGTAACGTGCGAACACAAGATGTGTCTACATTATAGATATGTGTACAGACGTAAGTAACGTGCGAACACAATATGTGTCTACATTATAGATATGTGTACAGACGTAAGTAACGTGCGAACACAAGATGTGTCTACATTATAGACATGTGTACAGACGTAAGTAACGTGGGAACACAAGATGTGTCTACATTATAGATATGTGTACAGTATAGATATGTGTACAGACGTAAGTAACGTGCGAACACAAAATCTGTCTTCATTATAGACATTGTGAGCATAAGATGTGTGCACCAGTTTGTACGTTGTAAGCATAGGATTTTTGTGCTAGCGGGAAGAAATAAGTAGGAAAAACAGAAAAAGGGAGAGATAAAGGAGAAAATTGTGATTAGAACAAAAGTAATAGTTACCCGCTAAACAACAAAAACAGGAAAGTAAAGAAAAGACAGAGGTTCTTCTGCGCAGAGATCATAGAATATTTCACCAGTACCCAAACAATGAATATCTGTATCGCGAGTTACATGACGACGACCTAACTACATGGGCACACACACCTAGACGAGCCACGGACTACAGATCCTAAATTAAATCAAGCAAATAAATTATATTCACATTAAACAGGGAAATCAGTCAGACAACGGCCTTCCCCTGCGGTCGCCATACCCACGCTGCCCAGCTCCCAAGTGCAAGGGTACAACAGCCGGGTAGGTCTCCACAGGGTCCGTCCGGAAGTCAAATCGCTCGCTGAAAGACTAAACAAATTCTTTTATACTTAGTGACCAGATTTTTCCGCTTTTCACTATCTTAAACTAAAAGCTGTTCACGTGGCCTCTTGGTCATTTTTAAGCCAGATCAAATCAAATTCGTTGAGCTGCTGAACAGTAGTCATCCAGCCTATTACATTTGTCTACAAGTGTGTACTTTGGGAGCGTAATATTTGTGTACAAGTGTCTACGTTATGAGCAAACAATTTATGTACGAGTGTCTACCTTGTGAGCATAAGATTTATGTACGAGTGTCTACGTTGTGAGCATAGGATTTATGTACGAGTGTCTACCTTGTGAGTATAAGATGTGTGTTCAAGTGCGTACATCGTAAGGATAAGATGTGTGTACAAGTGTGCACATTGTGAGCAGACGGCTTGTGCACCAGTCGGAGGTGAGAAGGCTGGGACTGACAGATGTAGGACCAGACCTGTCCGACTAAATCAGTGGTGTGTAGAGCTCACGTACCTGTAAGCTATCTAGAGCATCCCTGGAGTCGACTTCCATCTGTCCCCACGTCACTCCCCTTCTGTTTATTGCTGACACCCGCGAAGTACCGTCAGTGTAGTTCTTCTTGCTGGTCTCTGCTTGTATCTAGTCGTGGCGACGCATGCGATCCAACACAAAACATTGTCGTTATACTGGGGTTCCGTGAATACAGCAACCGTCAAAGAATCATGTGACATTTCCTACAAATATTTTGGTACTTATCACAAAATTGCTCCCACGGCTAGATTTTCTATCTTCTCCCATTCATGCCGCGACCGGTTCCACGTCCAGTCTTATGTTTTATGTTTTGGAAGGAGGGAAAAGGGAGGGGGGGGGGGGGAGCGTCACAAATTCCTTTTTTTCAACGGTTCTGACTTTTCTCGTGTTCTCACCGCTTAGCTGCAGGATTATTTTTGCGTTGTGCTGACTGACATTGATTGTCTGTTATATGTGCAATTAAAGATTGTTATTGATTGTCTGTTATATGTGCAAGTATAGATTGTTATTGATTGTCTGTTGTATGTGCAAACAGAGATTGATATTAATTGTCTGTTGTATATGCAAGCAGAGATTGATATTAATTGTCTGTTGTATGTGCCTGCAGACATTGAAATTGATTGTCTGTTATTTGTGCAAGCAGAGACTAATTTTGATTTTCTGTTGTATGTGAAGCAGAGATTGATATTGATTGTCTGTTGTATGTGCAAGCAGAGATTGATGTTGATTGTCTGTTCCATGTGCAAGCAGAAATTGATATTGATTGTCTGTTTTATGTGCAAGCACAAATTGACGACAGACACTGATCAGACAATGACTGTTTGAGCCGGCGATGTACGTCTCCCTTCAAAAGTGGACCAGTCATTTAGTGTAGCAGTGTCAACTGGACCAGAGAGGCAGGTGAAGATATGTCAACTGCACTAGAGAGGCATGTGAAGATGTGTCAACTGGACCAGAGAATCATGTGAAGATGTGTCAACTGGACCAGAGAGGCAGGTGAAGATGTGTCAACTGGACCAGAGAGGCATATGAAGATGTGTCAACTGGACCAGAGAACCATGTGAAGATGTGTCAACTGGACCAGAGAGGCATGTGAAGATGTGTCAACTGGACCAGAGAATCATGTGAAGATGTGTCAACTGGACCAGAGAATCATGTGAAGATGTGTCAACTGGACCAGAGAATCATGTGAAGATGTGTCAACTGGACCAGAGAATCATGTGAAGATGTGTCAACTGGACCAGATAATCATGTGAAGATGTGTCAACTGGACCAGAGAGGCATGCGAAGATGTGTCAACTGGACCAGAGAGGCATGCGAAGATGTGTCAACTGGACCAGAAAGGCATGTGAAGATGTGTCAACTGAACCAGAGAGGCACGTGAAGATGTGTCAACTGGACCAGAGAGGCAGGTGAAGATGTGTCAACTGGAACAGAGAGGCAGGTGAAGATGTGTCAACTGGACTAGAAAGGCATGTGAAGATGTGTCAACTTGACCAGAGAGGCATGTGAAGATGTGTCAACTGGACCAGAGAGGTATGCGAAGATGTGTCAACTGAACCAGAGATATGGTCACCGAAAAAAAGTTTTTACTGAAAGACATTTTCATTAGGGGAAATGTTTAACCAGGAAATGTCCCCCCCCCCTCCCCCCCCCCCCCCCCCCCCCCTTTCAAAAAAAAATTAAACAAGGGAAATTTTCAACATTGGAAATTTTCAACAATGAAAATGTTCAAAAAAGAAAAAGAAATTTTCAAAAAAGGAAATGTTCAAAAAGAAAAATTTTGACTGCAAGAAATGTTCACTAATGAAATCTTTACTATGAAAAAGTTTAAGAAGGCAAATGTTCACTGAAGCAAACATTCACTTTGTGAAAAGTTCAATAAGGAAAAGTTCAGAGCGGTGCTAAGATTCCCGAGCGGCAACAGCTGACTGTTAGAAGTAGAACGTGGAAGAAGAAGTAAAGAAAAACACCTCTACAAGCTGAGTGCCTTTAATTGAAGCCCCGAGTGGGATTGTTCAGAAAGAATATCAGTGAAAGCTTTGAAAGCTGGCAGTCTGATGCCCACATTTGAACAGACACGTCGACTAGAGCACATCGTGTTGTTCTGTCTGCCCCATCTCGCGCTAGCTTCACGGAGGTAAATCACCGCTCACCAAATGAGCAGGTATATTAGGAAAATCTGGAGCTGGGACGAGAAGGGGAGCTTTAACGACCTAGGCGATGGAGTTTGTATGGATGAATTCTTGCAAGAAATTCAAGCTTGCATTGATTAGCGTAATTAGCGATGGCTAATTCATAAAGCAGGAAGCATCGCTGGCGCAGATGATGGTCGCTCGCCTGCTAACCCGGTAGAATTTGTTCGAATTCCCATTTAGCAGGGGGTCTTTTTAGAATAATCTTCGCTTTGAAATCAACCTAATCTAAAATAGCAAGCAGAAAATTTTATAGAATTAAATCCAATCAGTATGAAATCACCTCACTCATCGTTTATTTTCTCAATACTGAATTTATGAAGCCAGGATTTATGCGGATTATTGTATAGTAAAAAAAAAAAATTTAAAATAATAATGAATAGGAAGTAATGGTCCCTTTTCCGCGCCTTTAGGCGTATATGGCATATAGGATATATAGGCTAGGTCTATACTTTTATAGACTAATCGGCACAAGATGGGTGATGTGCCCAGCATCAGGCCAGCCGCCTTTACTTCTCAGGACTGCACTCGGTACCCACTCAAGGCTGGGTCGACCTAGAAGTCAAGGCTGTTGTATAGAGTAGGGAATATACATGATCATAGACGGACGTTGACTGAACCTAGACAGGCGTGCACTGAAAAATAGATTACCATAGCAGCAGCCTTACCAATCATGACAGCCCTGACCCTCACAACAGCCATGATCCTGACAACATCCACGACCCTAAAGTCACCCCTGACAACAGATCTAACCCTGACGGTTAGTTCGACATTAGTCTCCACAATAGAGTAGGTCACTTTTCATTCACGATTTGTTGGGCTGGTCGACTTCCTGAAGGTTACGGGTGTGTCCCGCTCTGTTGTTTGGTTTCTGCGATATCTTGCATTTACGTTTTTCATTCCAAGAAAGAAAATGACTGACATAGGTTGCAGCACTCTCTATAAAGGGGGAGGGGGGGGGGAAGGGTGTTGTGTTTGAACCAGTTTCTCCTTGTTTTTAAAGTGTTATAGAATACGCGATATCAACGGCATTGCGAAACACCCCCGTAACAGTGTGCGAAGGTGACGTGGCATATGAACTACCAATCAAAAGTGAGCTAGTGTGTATATGCGTTTGGTCTGGGGAGACTAACGTCGAACTAACCATCATGATGACTGCCATGACCGTAACCCTGACGACGTACCTGTCGCGGTAGCTGTAAACACCCAAATTAGGCCGACCAAATAAAGAAATGTTTGAAACTTTGCTAACAAGTCAACCAATGGGCGTTGAGACGAAAGTGTTCACCAAGTGGTACCGATCAAGTTGTGAAGCCTCCTTTTCTAAAATCTTTTCTGGCTTGCAACAACACAAGACTTGTGCATGATGCTACAATGATTGTGTCCCAACCCTCGTCAGGGTACCCCATCTTCTTCAGCTAGGTGCCACATCCCCCATCCCCGACCCAGGTGCTCCATCCCCGACTCAGGAATCCCATCCCCAAGGCGCTCCATCCCCTCACCCAGGTGTCCCACCCCCATGCCCCCATCTCCCCCCCCCTTCCCCCCCCCCCCACAGCCAGAGCTTCAGTCGTCCCTGGTAATGTCTATTGCCAGAATTCTGGCACAATGCGCTCCACATTTTCAAAAAAGCTGCTATCTATTCTGGCAGAGTCAATGAGCCACTTGAGAAGCCAAAGTGGCTCTTGAGTTGTGTCTTGTGGCTGTGGTTGGGTGTTCCATCTGCTCATCCTTTCCTTAATGTCTGGCAACTCTTGACTGCCCTCTAGAGTGTCTGCATGTCTGTTCGCCGTGTCGTTTGTTTGTCTGATGTGTGTATTATCTGTCAATGTAGAGAGATAGTTACAGACAGGGCGCGTGATATACAGAGACGGACAGATACATAACACGATACAGAGAGAGACAGAGAGAGAGACAGAGAGAGAGTAGGAGAGAGAGAGAGTGAGAGAGAGAGAGAGAGTGAGAGTGAGTGAGAGAGAGAGAGAGAGAGAGAGAGAGAGAGAGAGAGAGAGAGAGAGAGAGTACGATAGACACAAAGGAATGCATGATATCGCGTAATTATTTATTTAGGGCTATTTTGTAATTTATGTTATTTCTTCCAACATCGGTTTGTTTACTGCTTTGTGTATCGTCAGCTGAGATATAAATTGTACTGCAATTATTTAAACAATCTGACTCATATTGCGTCATTAAAATATGGGATTGATTATATGACCTGAGTAAAATAGTTCATTGATTATTCCCTGAGTAAAATAGTTAATTGATTATGCCCTGAGTAAAATAGTTCATTGATTATTCCCTGAGTAAAATAGTTAATTGATTATGCCCTGAGTAAAATAGTTTATTCAATATGCCTTGAATAAAATAGTGGATTGATTATGCTCTGAGTAAAATAGTTGATTGATTATATGCCCTGAGTAAAATAGTTGATTGATTGTGCCCTGAGTAAAATAGTTAATTCAATATGCCCTAAGTAAAATAGTGGATTGATTATGCCCTGAGTAAAATAATTGATTGATTATGCCCTGAGTAAAATAGTTAATTGATTACGCCTTGGGTAAAATAATTAATTTAATATGCCCTGAGTAAAAAGTTAATTGATTTTGCTCTGAGTAAAATAGTTAATTGATTATGTCCTGAGTAAAATTGTTGATTGATTATGCCATGAGTAAAGTTAATTGTTTACGCCCTGAGTAAAATAGTAAATAGGGGTGAGGCACCTAGGTGGGGGAAGGGGCACCTGGGTCGGGGATCAAGCTCGCTGACGGTGGTTGGGACACCTAGGTCGGTGATGGGGCACCTGGGTCGGGGATGGGGCACCTGGTTCGGTGATGGGGCACCTGGGTCGGGAATTGGGCACCTGAGTCAGGGATGGGGCACCTGGGTCGGTGATGGGGCACCTGGTTCGGTGATGGGGCACCTAGGTCGGGGATGGTGCACCTGGGTCGGTGATGGGGCACCTGGGTCGGGGATGGGACACCTGGGTCGGGGGGCACCTGAGTCGGAGATGGGACACCTGGGTCGGGGATGGGTCACCTGGATCGGGGATGGAGCACCTGGATCGGGGATGGAACATCTGGGTCGGGGATGGGGCACCGTTACAAGCCAGAAAAGCTTTTAGAATATGAGGCTTCAGGTCTTGATCGATACCACTTGGCGAGCACTTTCCACTCATAAGCCTCATAAGCCATTGGTTCACTTGTTGGCAAGGTTTCATTTCTTTAACTGGTCGGACTTAAGGTGAGGCCTAAATTTCTCTACCACGACAAATACGTGGTCAGGGTAACGGTCATGGCCGTCGTCAGGGTAACGGTCATGGCAGTCGTCCAGGTAACGGTCATGGCAGTCGTCCAGGTAACGGTCATGGCAGTCGTCCAGGTAACGGTCATGGCCGTCGTCAGGGTAACGGTCATGGCAGTCGGCAGGTTTGGGCATGTCGTTGTTTAAAAAAAAAGAATTCAAACCATCAGATTGTAAGCGTGTTATGTGCCTTTCACTCTCGGTTAGTCATCTCAAGAAATAGCCTCCCCTCAGCTGTGGATTGTATAGTGTATGTGGGATATGCTTTCAAAGTAATCACCGCCTTTCAGTAGGGTTTGCTGAACCCGTTTATCATTAACTACAAATTGGAATGTGGTTTAGTGGGCGTGAGGCTTATTTATTTTGCATTATATTGGTGGTTCACATGTAAGCGGGTATGTAAACTGGTTTTCCCTGGCTTCCCGCAGGTTACGAGCTGGAGATAAAGATTATCACCAATGGAGAGGTGACCCCGTACGTCCACAACCCGGAGCTGTTCGATAAGATCCTCATTCCTCCAGAGATAGACACGGTCAACTTGACTTGGCAGGCAGGAGCCGACATTGTGAGTACTGGCAACGAGCACCTCATCTCTTGCCGGAGCAGACCCAAATGTTGAACGTCAGTAGTTTCTCTCTTTGTCTTTCTCTATGATCTTACTCTGGCGATCTTCTTCTTCTTCTTCTTCTTCTTCTTCTTCTTCTTCTTCTTCTTCTTCTTCTTCTTCTTCTTCTTCTTCTTCTTCTTCTTCTTCTTCTTCTTCTTCTTCTTCTTCTTCTCCTTCTCCTTCTCCTTCTCCTTCTCCTCCTCCTTCTCCTTCTCCTCCTCCTTTTCCTTCTTCTTCTTCTTCTTCTTCTTCTTCGTCTGTCTGTCTTGTCTGTCTGTCTTGTCTGTCTGTCTTGTCTGTCTGTCTTGTCTGTCTGTCTGTCTGTCTGTCTGTCTGTCTGTCTGTCTGTCTGTCTGTCTGTCTGTCTGTCTGTCTGTCTGTCTGTCTGTCTGTCTGTCTGTCTGTCTGTCTGTCTGTCTGTCTGTCTGTCTGTCTGTCTGTCTGTCTGTCTGTCTGTCTGTCACAGATGTGCTCGCATGCGGCCCGTGTTAAACATGCTCGATCTAGTGTATTTTTCTGTCTAGTGAATCTGTCTATCTAATGTCTGTCTGTAAGAAATAAAGAGTTTCCTTTCGCTCATAAATGCCAACAATTCTCACAAATTGTGTCCTAGCTATCATTGCCTCCTGTCTCAATGTGAAATTTAAAACGTTATACGCCTGCCGTGAGAATTTCAACAAGAAGAAAAATCTGCCAACAGTTGAAGTGAAACCCGGACGGACTGGATGGCTTGCGTGCCACCTGACGGCTCTGATTTCTACTTGTTGAGTGAGTTAGCTCACAAACTAGGCGTTTGGCTGAGCTGAAATCACTAATTGGGTTATTGCTTGTTCCGTGCGAATACCAGCTGTGAACTGGTTCTGTGGACTGGTTCTGATGATTAGTCTGTGGATTAGTTATGTGGACTGGTTCTGTGGATTAGTTCTGTGAACCGGTTCTGTGGAAAAGTTATGTGAATAAGTTCTGTGGGCTGGTCATATGGACTGGTTATGTGGACTGGTTCTGTGGACTGTTCTGTGGATATGCTGTAGACTGGTTCCGTGGACTGGTTCTGTAGAAAAGTTCTATAGACTGGTTCCGTGAACTGTTCTGTGAGCTGGTTCTGTGGATAAGTTTTGTGGACTTGTTCTGTGAATAACTTCTGTGAACTTATTATAAGGACTGGTCCTGTTGATAAGTTCTGTGGACTGGCTCTTCGAACTAGTTCTGTGGATAAGTGCTGTGGATTTTTCTGTGGGCTGGTTCTGTGGGCTGGTTCTGTGGACTAGTTCTGTGGATTAGTTTTGTAGACTGGCTCTGTAGGCTGGTTATATGTACTGGTTATGCGGACTGGTTATCTAGCTATGTGGACTAATTATGTGGACTGGTTCTGTGGACTAATTATGCGAACTGTTTCTGTAGACTGGTTTTGTGAATCGGTTCTGTGGACTGATTATGTGGACTGGTTATGTGGACTGGTTTTGTACGCTGGTTCAATGGATTAGTTCTGTAGACAAGTTCTGTAGACTGGTTATATGGACTGGTTCTGGTGACTGATTATGTGGACTGGTCCTGTGGACTGGTTCTGTGGACTAATTATGTGAACTGGTTCTGTAGACTGGTTCTGTGAACTGGTTCTGTGAACTGGTTCTGTGGACTGATTATGTGGACTGGTTTTGTTCGCTGGTTCAACGGATTAGTTCTGTAAACTAATTATATGGACCTGTGTAGCTGTGTCCTGAAGTGGCTCTGTTGGCTGGTTGGTTGTACCGAATCTGTAGTGTATGCAACCCATAGCACGGTAGTGTGAGAGAAATCATTCACCATATACAGTCTTCTAGTGCTGAATTTAAGTACAGGCTAAAGGTGCAACTTAGGGCCACACAATCTGCAGGGGTCTATTGTGTTTTTTTTTTTTCAAAGAAATGCAATTTTCTTTTAATTTATTTTGAATGCAGATTTTTTTAAATGTTGACATTATTCTCACAAATGACCTACCTGCAGCACTTCCATGATTGTTGTCACGTAGCCAGTAAAACACCCCTTATGCCAGTGGTACCGCCCACACACTGCACCCCTCTATGCAAATTATCTGTATTCAAACATAGACTAATCCGTCGTAGATAAAAAGTCCTTTTTTAATAAGTAGTTGTCAAGATATTGGTAATGAACCTAGTTCAATCCTAAAACTTTTGGGAGTGAGTTATCTCGAGAATTCACTCACAGGTGAGTGATTTTCGTGTGTAGTAAAGGTATTTTCCATGGCCGAAATACCTTCTTATTTGGTGGAAGGAATTGTTCCCGCTTCTGTTAGCGCCATTCTAGACCCACTTCCCGAAGACAGCATACGTCATATATCTTGTTTGAAAGTCACTTTTTTAACATGGGAACTACAAAAGAGTATGGGATGTATGAGCTCTGATACTGTGACAGTGCTGATTGAACTGAGACATGAGTCAGGATCAACGTTAAAATGATCAAAAAGTGAAAGTAAGTTCCATCAATCCACCTCAACATTCACCAGTACCTAATACCAGTCTCCAGGCATCTCTAATCCGTTTATTATAGTGACCTGAAACATCTTATGGGACGTGACAAGATGGGTCACACTCATCAAAAAACAGCTGAAGACACCACATCATCATCATCATGTGTGCCTTTTAAAAGTTGGTCTCACTGCAGACAGTAAATGTAATTGTAGGCAGATTATTATGAAACAGAGCGATGGTATACTTCTATAAGAATTTGTGTGACAGTGTAAATCCTGAGGAGAATTGGACTCAATCTGAGGAGCAGAGCTATTCATTCTCTACAGCTGCTGATACGTATAACAGAACCAAAGGTACGTCCGCCCTGACAATTCGCGCCAAGGGCTACTATTAACTTATTAATTACATCGTCATATCAGTGATGATATGACCAGTCAAGTTATGTCAGGCCTGCAGTCATTCTGGACTACTTAGAACTTTACTGGAGTCATATTTCTCCGTCTGTCACACTGTTTTGTCTGTTCTCTCATCTTTTCTAGATTGTTAAAATTGATTACACATTGTTTTGTTAATTTGTTGGTGTCAGGTGTTTCCCAGTTCACTTTTGTTAAGGCCTTAGGTCTATTGTTATAATATCAGATTACTGTTATACAGTGTTGTTTTTGACTGTGATAGTAATTCTGTCTAGTATTGGGACTATCAAGTGTTGAAGAAGTCTTGCCAAGTCGTGCCCAGGAATATATTTATATAATATATATATATATATATATATATATATATATATATATATATATATATATATATATATATATATATTATATATATATATATGGTTGTTAGAGCTGCGGGGTACTGCCTAGACCGATACGAGCCACCATCTGAACAATATATCACTTCAGAGTGTCTAATATTACTATAAGTAAGTAAGGGTCCCTTTTCCACGCCTTAAGGCGTATAGGGTGTATAGGGCTAGACCTATATTTTTATAGACCAATCGGCACAAGGTGGGTGATGTGGTCAGCATCGCGCCGGTCACCTTTACTTCCCGGGACTGCGCCCGGTACCCACTCAAGGCTGGATCGACCTAGAAGCCAAGGTTATTTTTGAAAATAGTCCGGCTCCACCAGGGAGCGAACCCACGACCTTCCGATCCGCGGCAAGCGTCTAGGCGCTCGGCCACGGCGACTCCCCTAATATTACTATGGGAGCCCTAATTAAGACACGTTTCAAAAAGCGTCCTGTGACAATTATGTCAAGCAAAATAATCCTGAAAAGGAACACGTTCAGCACATAGACATGTATCAAATCATGTTTTAAGACACGTTCCTGTAAGTTTTTCCTAATGTTAAGGCAATATAACTTTATTCGTGTGTTCAATGGTAACAGGAGAAAGACCTTGTTCACAGCTAAAAAGAATACAAAATAAATTGAGAGCAACTATGTTTCATAAAAAAACTCTGCTCTTAGTATCATGTTTATCGTGTGTATAGATATCTATATCGTATCATTTGATAACGTAATCAACGATTTTGTTTTTGACAAACCAAGTAATTAATGTTTTAAGTTGTAACTTGAGCCCTTAAAATTATTGTATAATATAATTTCTGTCATTTTGTAAACACATTCTTTATTATTAATTTTACTTCAAATTCAACGACAATGTGTTTCCATTATCCATGAATTATTGAAAAGTGTAATTATTTTAAAGTAAAAAAAAAAACACAAATAGATGTATTGCTGTAATCAAAGCCGATAGTCCAAGTCCATATACACTCGACAACGTTCAACCTGCTGCTTGCCAGCCAGAGCCGCCAACAGTCCCGGTTATGTTTGTGGTCTGCTTTTTTGCGCCACTTCCATGTCTAATGTTCTGATATTGCGCCAACTCTGGCTAGGTCGTTTTCCCTGCCAATCAGACCGCTGGATCTTTTCTGATGTGCGATTTGTCTCCCCTGCCCTTATATTTCTGATGCGTTCCTCGAGCTTCGAACTCCTTATTTGGCCAGGCGTATCTCGTAGGAAAGCGAGCTTTTCAACACACCGTCTTTTGGGACCACCATTTATAGATTTACAATTTTGAATATCTCGCTGCGAAAAAGTACCGAAAACAGTTTTGGGGTTTGGATACAGCCGAAATTGTGAAAAAATATCGCGTGTGACCAAAGCGGTCTTAAAGTTGTCTTCCTGAAATAAGAGCAGGTTAGGCATGTCATGCTGATGTGTATGGAATGAAATGTGAAGTCAAGACGGTTGGGGCCTGAGAGCTTTATATTATATACGTTCGGGTCCTATCTAGTTGAACTCTGGCCCTGCCCACAGTGATTGTACATTCTAGCTGCTTTCTTTCTTTCGTTTGTTTTCTTTTTCTCTGGTTTCTTTCAACTGTATGTGCCTAACTGGTTTTCTTCTGTATCTGTATGGCCGTCTTTGTGTGTGTGTGTATGTGTGTGTGTGTTCCTCTGTGTGTCTGTGTATGTAAATCCAGAAATTTTAAACTTGTGTGTGTCTGCTGTTTTTCTCTCCATACCCCATGTTTTCTTACATGTCTCTATATTTCCTCTCCCTTCAGTTTTCCTACATGTTTGTGACTATGTTCTGTTTTTTCTCCCCAGTATTCAAAACTGTATGTCTACTTTACTCTTCTCTCTATCCCAGTATTCGTAAACGTATGTCTGTTTTATTCTTCTATCCATCCCAGGGTTCATAATTGTGTGTCATTTTTGTTCTTCTATCTCACCTCAGTATTCCTACATTATGTGTCAGCGTCATTCTTCTTTCTCTCTCCAAAATTCCAATATTGTGTATCAACGTTGTTCTTCTTCTCTTCCCCCCCCCCCCCCCCCCCAGTATTCCTACATTGTGTATCTACGTTGTTCTTCTCTCTCTCCCCCCAGTATTCCTACACTGTGTATCTATGTTGTTCTTCTACCCCCCCCCCCCCAGTATACCTACACTGTGTATCTATGTTGTTCTTCTCCCCTCCCCCCCCCCCAGTATTCCTACATTGTGTATCTACGTTGTTCTTCTCTCCCTCCCCCCTTTCCACTCCAATATTCCTACAATGTGTACAGTGTTCTTCTCTCTCTCTCTCTCTCTCTCTCTCTCTCTCTCTCTCTCTCTCTCTCTCTCTCTCTCTCTCTCTCTCTCTCTCTTTCCATAATATTCCTACATGCTGTGGCTACGTTGTTCTTCTCCCCCCCCCCCCAATATTCCTACATTGTGTATCTACGTTGTTCTTTTCTCTTCCCCTGTATTGCTACATTGTGTATCTACCTTGTTCTTCTCTCTCTCTCTCTCTCTCTCCCTCTCTCTCTCTCTCTCTCTCTCTCTCCCCATAATATTCCTACATGTTGTGGCTACGTTGTTCTTCTCCCCCCCCCCAATATTCCTACATTGTGTATCTACGTTGTTCTTTTCTCTTCCCCTGTATTGCTACATTGTGTATCTACCTTGTTCTTCTCTCTCTCTCTCTCTCTCTCTCTCTCTCTCTCTCTCTCTCTCTCTCTCTCTCTCTCTCTCTCTCTCTCTCTCTCCATAATATTCCTACATGTTGTGGCTACGTGTTCTTCTCTCCCCCCCCCCCAATTTCCTACATTGTGTATCTACGTTGTTCTTTTCTCTTCCCCTGTATTGCTACATTGTGTATCTACCTTGTTCTTCTCTCTCCCTCTCTCTCTCTCTCTCTCTCTCTCCCTCTCTCTCTCCCAGTATTTCTACATTGTGTATCTGCGTTGTTCGTCTCTCTCCCCCAGTATTCCTACATTGTGTATCTATGTTGCTCCTCTCTCTCTCTTTCTCTCTCTCTCTCTCTCTCTCTCTCTCTCTCTCTCTCTCTCTCTCATCCCCTAGTATTTTTACATTGTGTATCTACGTTGCTCCTCTCTCTCTCTTTCTCTCTCTCTCTCTCTCTCTCTCTCTCTCTCTCTCTCTCTCTCTCTCATCCCCTAGTATTTTTACATTGTGTATCTACGTTGCTCTTTTCTCTCTGCCCAGTATTCCTACATGTTTGAAGACTTTATATCCCTGGACCTGGACCTGCTCTACCAACCACTGTTGGGGATTCCGGCTCGGGGCTACATTCCCAGGTTCCCCACAGGTAAGAATCCACTTTCAGCAGATCTTACAACAGATACTAAATACTGACTGATAAACCATACTGCAACACTTTTTTTTTCTTCTGTGGCACCCAACCTCCACAGTTCATAGAAGACCAGCTAGAACCATGTTTTCCTGTCCTGCCATTTGCAGGCGATGATTATCTGTGACAGTCGGTTGCGGTCAAAGGAAAATACATATTACAGCTGAACCCTTAGGGCTGGTATTTCACAAAGAGGAGTGGCCAGAGTTAGAGAACACAACACGTGCATTGACCACTGTAACGTGACAGCATGAACCGTGTTAGGGCACGGTACATAGACTGACCAGTGTAACGTGACAGCAAGAACCGTGTAAGGGCACGGTACATGGACTGACCAGTGTGACGTGACAGCAACAACCATGTTAGAGCACTGTACACGGAATGACCAGTGTGACCTGACAGTAAGAACCGTGTTAGAGCACTACACGGAATGACCAGTGTGACCTGACAGCAAGAACCATGTTAGGACACCTCATGGACTGACCAGTGTGACGTGACAGTAAGAAAATGGTTAGGTCACGGCACATAGACTGACCATTGTGGCATGACAGTAAGAACCATGTTAGGAGACCACATGGACTGACCAGTGTGGCGTGACAGTAAGAACCATGTTAGAACACGGCCCATGGACTGACCAGTGTGGCGTGACAGCAAGAACCATGTTAGGACACCACATGGACTGACCAGTGTGACGTGACAGCAAGAACCATGTTAGGACACCACATGGACTGACCAGTGTGACGTGACAGCAAGAACCATGTTAGAACACGGCACATGGACTGACCAGTGTGACGTGACAGCAAGAACCATGTTAGAACACGGCACATGGACTGACCAGTGTGACGTGACAGCAAGAACCATGTTAGAACACGGCACATGGACTGACCAGTGTGGCGTGACAACAAGAACCATGTTAAGACAACATATGGACTGACCAGTGTGACGTGACAGCAAGAACCATGTTAGGACACGGCACATGGACTGACCAGTGGGGCGTGACTACAAGAACCATGTTAAGACAACATATGAACTGACCAGTGTGACGTGACAGCAAGAACCATGTTAAGACAACATATGAACTGACCAGTGTGACGTGACAGCAAGAACCATGTTAGGACACGGCACATGAACTGACCAGTGTGGCGTGACAACAAGAACCATGTTAAAACAACATATGAACTGACCAGTGTGGCGTGACAACAAGAACCATGTTAAGACAACATATGAACTGACCAGTGTGGCATGACAGCTGATCTAGGGTGATACTACTGATATTATGGCACTGATTTCGTGATGAAACGGACAAGATGACTTTCAGTTTTGCTCGCCAGAAACATCATTTTCCGTAAACAGTACATACCTTTTATTTTTTTAATTCTGTCAGTGTTTGGGTTAACCATTTTGTTTTGTCAGTACTTCAGATAACCAATCCCTATTGTGTCGGTATTCCAGATAACCATTCCCTGTTGTGTCAGTGTTTCAGATAAACATTCCCTGTTGTGTCAGTGTTTCAGATAACCATTCCGTTGCTGGATCAGTATTTCAGATAACCATTCCCTGTTGTATCAGTATTTCAGATAACCATTTCCTGTTGTTGTTTCAGTATTTCAGATTACTATTCCCTGTTGTGTCAGTTTTTCAGATTACTATTCCCTGTTGTTTTGTCAGTATTTCAGACAACCGTTCCCTGTTGTTTTGTCAGTATTTCAGATAACCATTCCTTGTAAAGGCAACCAGCGCGGAGTTGCCTCCCTGATGCTGGGGTTAAGGATCTTTGATCACCTGCGACGACCGCTAGAGGGCACTCCTATTCACTTTCGATTAAAGAAGCAGTGCGTGGCTTTTGGTGAGTGCTGACCTGGTTGTTCTATTGTCTTGCTATTGAATCCACCCTACCCCCCCCCCCCACTCCCCATTCCCATGATTTTGGAGATGGGTAAAAGTAACGTAAATCTCCCCACGCCCCGCCCATATACACACTAGCTCACTTCTGATTGGTAGTTCTTGAACCTGTCACCTTGGCACAAGGTTACAGAGTTGTTCCGCATTGCCGTTGATATCGCCTGTTGTATATTTCAGCACGCCAGCGCTTTTAACACTCCAAAAACATGGACAAACTGGGTCAAACACAACCCCCCCCCCACCCCCATCCCCAGAGAGTGTTGCAACCTATATCACAGTCATTCTCTTTCTAGGAATGAAAACGTAAATCCAGGACATCACAGAAACCAAACAACAGAGCGGGACACACCCGTAAGCTTCAGAAAAGTCAAACTTATGAATGAGTGATCTACTCTATTTTGGGAGACTAACGTCGAACTAACCGTTGCGAGATACAGAACACACTTACAAGGATATTGCAATGCATATTCTTCTTCGGGTGTCTAAATAAAGGCGACATTGTCATCAAGGGGACATGGTTAGGGGGCCCTGGGGTTTCATTTCACAGGGACATTGTCCCGCGGTTTCTTCTTTGATGGATTAATCATAACCGACACTTTTACGCCCGTTACCGCCCGTAAATCAGGGGAAGGGCCAAGATACAAGGTTATTGTTTGACACCTTCATGTTGAAACGTAGTGTTGGGGGAACACAATCTTTCTATAGCTAAGGAAAAAGTGCGGAAAGGGGGAGGGGTGGGGGGGGGGGGGTCAACTATCTCGGGGATTCCGAGATGTCGTGCGGGGTTCCTGGAAAAGTCCAATAATATATGGGTGTTAGGGTGTAAAATTGGCACCGACTAACACTAAAACTAAACAATTTTCCCCTATAATATTGGATTTTCCCGGGAACTCCTCGCGAAATCTTGAAGTCCCTGTGATAGGGTGAACAAAAAGAAAATTACCGGGGGTGTTTGTGAGTGGACAGTTAATTGGCTGGTCGTCTTATTGCTTGATTCGTCGATTTATTTATTTTTGTCGATTGGTTGATTTGTCGATTGGTTGATTTGTCGATTTATTGATTTGTCAATTGGTTGATTTGTCGATTGTTTAATTTGTCGATTGTTTGATTTGTCAAATGGTTGATTTGTCGATTGATTTATTTATCGATTAGCTGATGTGTCGATTGGTTGATTTGTCGATTGTTTGATTTGTCAATTGGTTGATTTGTTATTTATTATTTTTTTTATTCATTTATTGCTCGTTGAGTTGGTTATTGATCAGCGCTCGGTTGACTGATTTGTTGAATGTTTCCATTCTGATTAACTGTGTTTATGCACGAAAACAGACCATCAAACCCTGAGTTCTCACACACGTACAGCCAATCTGTGAGTCCTTACACACGTACAGCCAATCTGTGAATCCTCACACACGAACAGCCAATCTGTGAGTCCTCACACACGTACAGCCAATCTGTGAGTCCTCATACACGTACAGCCAATCTGCGAGTCCTCACACACGTACAGCCAATCTGTGAGTCCTCACACACATACAGCCAGTCTGTGAGTGCTCACACATGTACAGCCAATCTGTGAGTCCTCACACACGAACAGCCAATCTGTGAGTCCTCACACACGTACAGCCAATCTGTGAGTCCCCACACACGTGCAGCCAATCTGTGAGTCCTCACACACGTACAGCCAATCTGTGAGTCCTCACACACGTACAGCCAATCTGTGAGTCCTCACACACGTGCAGCCAATCTGTGAGTCCTCACACACGAACAGCCAATCTGTGAGTCCTCACACACGTGCAGCCAATCTGTGAGTCCTCAAACACGTGCAGCCAATCTGTGAGTCCTCACACACGTACAGCCAATCTGTGAGTCCTCACACACGTACAGCCAAACTGTTAGTCCTCACACACGTACAGTCAATCTGTGAGCCCTCACACACGTACAGCCAATCTGTGAGTCCTCACTTACGTACAGCCAATCTGTGAGTCCTCACACATGTACAGCCAATCTGTAAGTCCTCACACATATACAGCTAATCTGTTTATGTGTGCGCTTATTATGAAGAGCCGCTGCTCGAACGATTAAGAACGTGGAGCTCCTCCCTAATGTTTTACAATTTTTTTTCTGTCAGAGGTTTAAAATAATCAAATAATAACCTGCATAGTTTGTGGCGACAGCACTACCCATACGCCCTAAATTCTCAGTATCATAATTTCCCTGCCTACAACCCCAGAATAGGAAATTAAGGCATTAATGGCGTTTTTTTTTTAATTTTCATGTGCGTATTATGTGTATATGGATGTTCACACACACACACACACACACACACACACACACACACATATATATATATATATATATATATATATATATATATATATATATATATATATATATATATATATTGAATATATATATATATATCACAATTGTGAAATCAGTGTACATCTTAGTATCTGTAAAACTTAACTTGCCAGAGTAATTCATACATACATACACGCGTGCACACATACACACATGCATACACGAACACACACACACACACAAAGCCGTTGTTACTTCGCTGCTGGGACTGGGTTTTGTGAGCGGACCAGAACAGATACACATTAGGCCCGCGTAGTCTGGCAGGTAGGAATAAACACGCGAACCTGTCTAGGCCCGCGGCTATAAGTGAACTTCAATAGAAATCCTGTCACGTGGGCTGTACAACTGCAGAAGTCAGACAGTTCATGGCGTCCATGTTTATCTCTGTTTCTCGGCGACACGTGCATGATCTGCCACACGTGGACCTTCGCGCAGCCGCATTGTTTATTTGTTGACTTCTGCCTTCATCTCTCGCGTCCTCCTATCGCCAGGTGTCGAACTGCACCTGAATCATTGCCTCTTTCTGGCGGCAAATCTAGGCTGTGTCCGTTGTTCCTTAGAGGGTTTGCTTCAATTTCAGACAAAATTAGGCCCACTGCAGAGTGTCTTTCCGGCCCACGTGAATGTAGTAGTTACGTCCAAGCTCACATGAGTATAGAATTCACGTCACGGTCCAGATGAAAATAGTAGTCACGTGTCGGTCCAGGTAACTATAGCTGTCAATAATAGTCACGTTCTGGTCCACGTCAGTATAGTAATCACGTCTCGGTCAAATTGAGTAAACGAGCCACGTCTAGGTCCGCTTGAGTATAGCAGTCACGTCTCGATCCACGTGAGTTTAGTAGTCACGTCTCTGTCCATCTTAGTATATTAGTCACGTCTCGATCCAATTTAGTAAAAAAGCTAGATTTCTTTCTGACAAAATATCATCCACTATTTATGTAATCATCGCTCATTGACGTGTATGTTACTTTTATTCTATACGGTTAGTTGCGTATCATTTTTCAGGACGTTTTAGAACCAACCCCAACAGCCTCCTTTTATTCTATATGTTGCCTTTATTTTGTTTGTATTGTGTATGTTGCTTATAGCCAGTGTGCTGTCTGTATATTGTCTGTATACTGTATGAATGATGTCTGTATGTTGTCTGTATATTGCCTGTATGTAGTATTATGCTGCTTGTAAGTTGTCATAATGCTGTAGGTATGTTATCTGTATGCTGTCTGTATGTTGTCTGCATGCTGTCTGTATGTTGACTGCGTGCTGAATTTATGCATTCTGTATGCTGTCTGCATGTTTTCTGTATTCTGTTAGTATGTTCTATGTCTGTTTTTTACTGTCTGTATGTTGTCTATATGATGTCTGTATGCTGTCTGTCTGATATCTGTGTTCTGTATGTATACTGTTTGTATATTGTATGTATGCTGTCTGCATGCTGTCTGTATGTTGTCTGTATGCTGTCTGTATGCTGTCTGTGTGTTGTCTTATGTTGTCTGTATGCTGTCTGCATGCTGTCTGCATGATGTCTGTATGCTGTCTGTATTCTGTCTGTATTCTATCTGTATGCTGTCTATATGTTGTCTGTATGTTGTATGTATGCTGTCTGTATGTTGTCTGTATGCTGTCTGTATTCTGTATGAATGTTGTCTGATGTACGCCCCCCCCCCCCCCCGGGAAAAATGTTACACCTACTCTGCATTAGGTTTTATTCAGATTCGACCTCAGCATGTTTTCCCACCTGGGCTGTTTCTGCAGTCTTATAAATGTCTGTCTGCCGTCTTATTCATGTCTAGTATGCAGTCTCACAAATACTTTGCTTCCACATTTCAGCAACGAGCTCCCTATGTACACAAGCATGCCTTCACGGAGGTACGTGCAACTCTCACGGTGTCTGTGAATGTCCGCAGGGCTTCCAAGGACCTTTCTGTGATATAGGTATGTACACATGTCCGAGTGCCAGGAATGTACACGTGTCCGGGTGTCAGGTGTGTACATATGTCAGGGTGATAGATATGTACATATATCAGGGTGCTAGATATGTACATATGTCAGGATGCTAGATGTGTACATATGTCAGGGTGCTAGATATGTACACATGTCAGGGTGCAGGTGGATACCCATGTCCGGATGCCAGATATTACACATGACCAGATTTTAGATACGTTCACATGTCCGGCTGCCAAGTATGTACACGTGTCCGGGTGTTAGATACGTACACATGTCCGGGTGCAAGGTATGTAAACATTTCTCGGTGCCAGTTATGTACAATGTCTGGGTTTCAGGGGCTTACACGCGTCTTGGTGCTAATTATGTTCACATGTCCGGGTGCTAGGTATGTACACATGTCCAGGTGCTAGATGTGTACACATGTCAGGGTGCTAGATATGTACACATGTTAGGTTGCTGGGTATGTACACACGTCCGGGTGCTGGGTATGTACACATATCCGGGTGCTAGGTATGTTTACATATTCTGGTGTTATGTGTGTACGCATGTCCGGGTGGTTGGTATGAACACATGTCTGGGTGCTGGGTAGGTACTCATATCCCGGTGTTAGATGTTTACACATATTAGAGTGCCAGGTATGTAGACATATCCGGGTGCTGGGTATGTATACATATTCTGGTGCTAGGTATGTACACATATTTGATAGCTGGGTGTGTACACGTGTCCATATGATAACTTTCTCTGCTCTCTCACCCACTGGTCTCATCTACTGTCCTAGAAATATTGACTGACACAATAGCAACTAACTCTCACACAAACAACAAGTTTACACCTTTGACCTCTGTACTTACAGCCTTGTGCAACCCGCCATGCCAGAATAACGGAACTTGCATCTCCCCGTCAACTTGTGCCTGCCCACTGGGTTTCTATGGCAACTATTGTGAGAAAGGTAGGACTGACCTTGTATCTCAGTTAAATATGACCTTCAGTGAGAGTTAACTCAGCGCATATCTAGGAGGGGACTTTCATTCCATGTCTGTTGTGTAATATATCTCATATTTATTATATTGTGCACAAATCTCATTGTTAAAATATAATACTTTGTTATAATGTCCACATGTGTCTGCATGAAAACAGCACAACAAACCGTTTGCACACTTAAAGAGAATACCTTGTGACGTCATACCATACAAGACATACACCAAAAAGGATAAGGAGGTAGAACACGAGGTAGACCAAGAACAAAATGGAATGATAACATCAGAGAAACTCTACAACAGCATGATGTATCTGTGGTCGAGGACCAGAACAGCGAGAAGCAGAGCCTTATATCCTTCTTGACACCTGAAGCGGTAAAAGAAGAAGTGAAGAAGAAGAAGAATATCTCGATCCTTGTTATGTCGTTGTCGACAGAAAGGCATTCACAGGTGATCTTCGCTGCTGTTAGTCTGTACTTTTCTGCCTACGGCTCTAATGTCGGTTTACATTCCTTCATTTCCTTGTCTACTGTCGTTCTTCAGGTTTTGTTAAGTCGTCATCGTCTCCTTGTTCCGTCTGGTGTCCGTGGAAGAACTGTTCTTACCAAAGTGTAATGAGGCATTCTGCAAACATGACCATCTTCTTCCTGTCCTAACGTTTGCTATTGTAGTAGTAATAATTTTTCAAAAATATCATGTTCAACCCTCAGTGTTATAATTAGGATATACAGGGTTTATTTGAGGCCTCAGGGTTTATATTTGCTACTTCAAATGTATATATCATGTAAATATTTATATGACCAATATGTAATTGGTATTGTTTCACATTTTGCTTTGATTTGAGTTAGGATTTTGATAAAACTTTTATTATGATTAATTAGACAATCCTAATAACATTGTGTCATTACCATGGCGGATATCTATTGTTTCCTTAGTCTGCACTCATAGTTTTGTGGTGACCATTAAGTTCTCCTCCCCAGTTCCATGTCATTCCATAATAGTCTGTTCAACATTTCAGTTATTCTGTTATTTCTTCTTCATAGTTCCCAAATCTTGAGTTGTGTTGTTATAGTTGTCATCTTTATGTCTGTTTTAGGTTTAACAGATTTTGTTATAATTCTCACACATTCTGTATAATTCTCACACATTCTATTATAATTCTCACACATTCTATTATAATTCTCACACATTCTTTTATAATTCTCACACGTTCTGTATAATTCTCACACATTCTGCTATGTCTCATACATTCTGTTATAATTCTCACACATTCTGTTATAATTCTCACACATTATATTATAATTCTCACACATTCTGTTATAATTCTCACACGTTCTGTAGAATTCTCACATATTCTGTTACAATTCTCACACGTTCTGCTGTAATTCTCACACATTCTGTTATAATTCTCGCGCATTCTATAATAATTCTCACACGTTCTTTATAATTGTCACAAATTGTGTTATAATTCTGACACATCCTGCTTTGATTCTCACACATTCTGCTATAATTCTCACACATTCTGTTATATTCTCACACATTCTTCTTTAATTCTCACACATTCTGCTTTAATTTTCACACATAATGTTATAATTCTCACATCTTTTGTTAAACTTTTCACATTTTCTAAAATAATGTTCACATGTACTAATGTGTGTGTATGTTGCAGCTGTATGCGGTCACGTGTGCCACAATGGCGGCCAGTGTTTGCCAGAAGGCTTCTGCTGGTGCGCTCAAGGATTCTACGGAGATGCCTGTGAATATAGTGAGTAACAGCACTGGGAACCTCATCTCATGGGTGCTTATTAAAAGCCGCGACTATGTTTATGTTGATAGTTTGTCTAACACACGGGATATGCTGCAGTTGTTTTGGCATCCCAAAACCAGCTCCTTCTGTCACTGTGAGCTACTCTTTCAGTTTTCATTCTCAGACAGAGAACAAAAACAAAACACATATTTCACCAACACTATAAATGATTGGTGGGGTGGCATCTGCGTGTTTCATTTGAGGCAGGCAGTACATACCCCTAAGTACACAATAATTTTTGAGAAATGAAAACCGCTTGTCCCATATCTCAGACTGTTTGCTGTGTTGTCTAATTCTAATTGTTAAACCGTTTTCCTTCTGCCAGGTCATTGTGTACCCACGTGCCAGAACGGCGGCATCTGCAGGGGCAGTAACCAGTGTCAGTGTTCTGTCCTCTACTCCGGAAACTTGTGTGGTAAGTTCTGTCCTCTACTCAGGGAACTTGTGTGCTAAGTTCTGTCCTGTACTTGTAGAACTTGTGTGGTAAGTTATGTCCCCTACTTGTGGAACTTGTGTGGTAAGTTCTGTCCTGTACTTGTATAACTTGTGTGGTAAGTTATGTCCCCTACTAGTGAAACTTGTGTGGAAAGTTTTATCCTCTACTTCTGAAACTTGTGTGGAAAGTTTTATCCTCTACTTGTGAAACTTGTGTGGAAAGTTCTGTCCTACTTGTAAAACTTTTGTTCTAAGTTCTGTCTTCTACCTGTAGAACTTATGTGGCAAGTTCTGTCCTCTACTTTTGGAACTTATGTGGCAAGTTCTGTCCCCTACGTGTGAAATTTGTGTGGAAAGTTCTGTCCCTTACGTGTGGAACTTGTGAGGCAAGTTCTGTCCCCTACGTGTGGAACTTGTGTGGCAAGTTCTGTCCTCTACTTGTGGAACTTGTGTGTCAAGTTCTTTCCCCTACTTGTGAAACTTGTGTTGCAAGTTCTGTCCCCTACGTGTGGAACTTGTGTGGCAAGTTATCTCTACTTGTGATACTTTTGTGATAAGTTCGATCCCTTACTTGTGGAACTTATGTGGTAAATTCTGTCCCCTACGTGTGGAACTTGTGTGGCAAGTTCTGTCCTTTAATTGTGGAACTATTATGTGGCAAATACTGTCCCCTACGTGTGAAACTTGTGTGGTAAGTTCCGTCCTCTACTTGTGAAACTTATGTGAACGTTCTGTTCCCTACTTGTAAAACTTTTTTCCATCTATTGTGTAACTGTTCACGCTTACACGCAATCTCACCAACACGAACAGCCGACAACATATGTATTTAACACATACAGTACAAAGTACACGCATCAACAAATGTGAACTGACAAACATTACCCTCAGTAAACGTCTTATGCGGTTATTCGGCTCTGCACTTAGGCATTTTATAGGATAAGTCGTGGTAAGTCAGAGGTCACTACCTGATAATCATAGTTTCAGCTTCAGAGCAAACCAGTCACCCCCTAGTTGCCCCGCCCCTGCCCCAGTGAAAAGACACAGAATGTCCATCGTTGTTTCTTGTGGAAAAACTGGCACAGACTGCAGTCTCAGCAAATGCACCAGCATAAAAGTATATGGCAACCATGAGGACTGCTAACAAAAACGGTCTGACAGTAGAAATGCAGTTTATCATTGTCGAAAGCAGCAGTTAGAAACAGATGAGTAGTTGCACACGCGATCAATTTTAACCATATAAGGCACAACCACTTCTTTGGCAAAAGGCTCCTCGCTACTTTCTGAATCAACGGTTCACAACAAAACGTTGGTCACGATTAAAAAAAAAAAACATTCAAAAATTAAATCCGCAGCTCACATTGTCGCGCCCTGCACTCAGTTTATTAGCTTTCAGTCCATAAATAGAATAATGTAACGGCCACTACCTGACAAAAGCAAAAAATATTGCTACGATTAAAAACAGTGAACGTGCCTATCCTCTGTGTTAAAACCTTTGTCCTGGCTGCTAGTGGCTATGATATGTCCACTCTAACACAGCCGGGTCACACGATCCTTCTGCTTGTACTGACACATTCTCCACGTCACTGAACTCTGTGCTCACTCTAAAACAGCACACACGATCCTTCCACTTGTACTGACACATTCTCCATGTCACTGAACTCCGAGCTCACTCTAAAACAGCCGAGTCACACGATCCTTCCACTTATACTGACACATTCTCCACGTCACTGAACTCTGTGCTCACTCTAAAACAGCACACACGATCCTTCCACTTGTACTGACACATTCTCCATGTCACTGAACTCCGAGCTCACTCTAAAACAGCCGAGTCACACGATCCTTCCACTTATACTGACACATTCTCCACGTCACTGAACTCCGTGCTCACTCTAACAGAATGGTTTTTTTTTCTGGTTCAGAGATTAAAGAAGACGCAGACAGGGCCAGACGGAGCAAGGAGACACGGCTGGACAAGTCTCGGAAAGCTGGGGACAAGCAGCTTAGTACAAGTAAGTCGGGGGTTTCTGTTAGTCACCTGGGGTTAATGACCAGTTAACACGTATCTAGTCCTCTAACCAATGACTAGTAAATCCCACTGCCCTTCGGCCTTTGGCTAGTATATCTGACTGACCGGCAACCGTTGGTTTGTATATTCCACTGACATGTGACCTCTAACCTGTAGCTAATATATTCCACTGACCTGTGACCTCTGACTAGTAGCTAGTATATACCACTGACATTTGACCAATCGCTAGTATATCCCACTTACCTGGGACCTATGGCTAGTATATTCCTCTGATCGGTAGTCGTTCGCTTATATATTCCACTGACATGTGACCTCTAACCTGTTACTAGTATATCCCACCGACCTCTAACCTATAGCTAGTGTGGCTCATTGACCTCTAACCTGTGGCTAGGTTTGACCTATAGCTCGTATATTCCAATGACCATTGACATATGGCTAGTATTGCTCACTGACCGGTAACCGTTGGTTTGTATATTTCACTGACCTATGACCTGTAGCTTGTATGTTCAACTGACCTGTGACCTCTGACCTGTGGCTAGTATATCCCACTGATCTGTTACCTCTAACCTCTAGCTAGTATATTCCACTGATCTGTGACCTATATCTTGTAAGTGCCACGGATGACCCATAAATGTCTAGCATATTTTAATTGCAAAAACAAAAGGGAAGCAATTCATCTTTAACATTTGTTAAAGACTAGCAACAGTTGTCCCCCAAACTCCCTTTTCTGGCATGTATACTTTTTAAAATAATGGCTGCTTGGTCAGGGTTGGTTCGGGTTCACTTGTCTGACAAGACAGGTCCGGTGTCTGGCAAGCCCTGTGTCTGGCAAGCCCTGTGTCTGGCAAGCCCTATGTCTGGCAGGTCCTATATCTGGCAGATCCTGTGTCTGGCAAGCCCTGACTCTGGCAAGCCCTATGTCTGGCAGATCCTGTGTCTGGCAGATCCTGCGCCTGCCAGGTCCTTATCTGACAGGACCAGTCATGTGTCTCACAGGTCCTGTGTCTGGCAGGTCCGTGTCTGACAAGTGCTGTGTCTTACAGATCCTATGCCTGCAGGTCCTTGTCTGACAAGTGCTGTGTCTTGCGGGTCCTGTGTCTGACAGATCCTGTGTCTGACAGATCCTGTGCCTGGCAGGTCCTTGTCTGACAAGTGCTGTGTCTTACAGGTCCTATGCGTTTCCTGCTGTAGGAATATTCACTTGAGCGTCAGTGGGAGAATCTGAAATCACATCCCGTATTCTGTAATAAAGGTCACAGGTGTCCTGACCAAACGTCAAGGTGTCACAACAAAACGTCACATATGTCCCGACTAAACGTGACGGTGTCCCGACAAAACGTCACACATGTCCTTACTAAACGTGACGGTGTCCCGACAAAACGTCACACATGTCCTTACCAAACGTGACGGTGTCCCGACAAAACGTCACACATGTCCTTACCAAACATGACGGTGTCCCGACAAAACGTCACACATGTCCTGACTACATGTCAAGGTGTCCCGACAAAACGTCACACCTGTCCCGGCCACATGTCACAGGTGTCCCAATCAGACATCACAGGTGCAACGCACATACACAATCAGATACGTCTAAGTGGTCCTGATCTTGCCCCCCAAACTTGCCAGATGTATATCGCAGGCCCCCAACCCCACTCCCACCCTTCCGCTATTGCTGGTTAAACTCCCCTGTCAGCATGTCCATGTTGCTAACGTCTGGGTCCTGTGTCGGCAGGTAGACAACATTCCAACCCGTAGTGTGTTTAAGACTTGGCGCAGCGACACAGAAGGAACAAAACCCAGAAATAATACTACAATCATTGTGTGTGTGTATGTGCGCGCGCGCTTGCGTGACTGCGTGCCTGCGTGTGTGTGGTGATTGGCGTGGGCAATTATGCCTCGCCACAATCTGCGATCTCCTGCAGTATGTATTAGTTTGTGTGCTGACGCACCTCCATGCCATGCAATAAGACTGTCAAGAATTTTCTCTGGCTGTCTTCCTCTATCCCTTCTTCCACATATCTTTCCAATGGCCACCAGCCTTACTTATCCGCTGCACCTTCACGAATACAGATGGAGGATCGGTCGCACCTCGAGATAAATACAAAGATATTTTTTAGCAAGCTTCGGTTTGCATTTTATACAGTATGATACACTTTGAGTATGAAACAAGGGGAAAAAACTCTTTTCGACAGTGGCGAGGAAAGACAATTTAAATTTTAACTTTTAAGTATCTTTATGCCTTCTTTAATAATTTCCCAGTTTATAACCGACTTTTCTTAATTTTCGCCCCTGCACCCCTGGCATACGCACCCAGTTTAAGAACCTCTGCTGTAATGCCTCGGTCGAGTCAGCAGGCAAAGACCTTGCCAGCTGCTGTACCACGCAACCGTGTCGCAGTTTCCTCCGCTACAACAGACTTAGGCAGCAGCAACTATTGTGTTAATGAGAGATATAATTCAGTCCATAGCAGTGTTTGCAGAAACAGGTTTAAGGTAACTACTATTCGTATTCGGCCCGACAGCAAGTATTCGGCCGAATACCAAATAGTTATTAGAATTATTCAACACATGTACACATATATACATATATTTTACAGATGTACGAACACATACATATATTTTACAGATGTACGAACACATACATATATTTTTCAGATGTGCACACATATACATATACATATATTTCATATATTTTACACATGTGTACATATATTGATACGTTTTACAGATGTGGAAAACAAACTGCGTAAAGCGGAACAACGGTTGCTTAAGATAGCTGGGCGCCGCTCACAGAGCTGGGATATCTCCGAGGAAGAAAGGCGGACACTGGCCAGGATGAAACAGAAGTCGGATTCGGAGAGTTTAAGTCTGCAAGAAAGGAGATACCTCATCAAGGTGCTGACTCAACAGCGTGGCCACCTTAACAGCAAGGACAAAACCAAAGTGAAACGGTTCAAAACTTTGATGCGTCACACGAAGAAGCCGCAGAAGAAAGCTAGGAAACGAAGAATACACGTGAAATGAGTCAGAGGGAAAACAAAATTAAATGTAAGACTGTGTGATATAATTATATGTAAAATGAGACTGTGTGATATAATACATATGATGTGAGACTGTCTCATATAATACATATTTAATGAGACTGTTTCATATAATAAATGTGAAATGAGACTGTATGATATAATACTTGTGAAATTAAACTGTGCGATATGATACATTTGAAATGAGACTATGTGACTTAATTCATATTAAATGAGACTGTGTGAAATAATATTTGTGAAATCATGACACACTATGAAAGAGATTGTGTGATATAATACACGTTAAATGAGACTGTATGATATAATATATGTAAATGAGACTGTCGTATATATATATATATATATATATATATATATATATATATATATATATATATATATATATATATATATATATATATATATATATATATATATATATATATATATATATATATAATACATGTGAAATAAGATTGTGTCATAAAATACATGTGAAATGATACTGTATCATATAATACATCTGAAACCAGACTATGTGATATAATACATTTGAAATGAGATTATGTGATTTAATACATATTAAATAAGACTGTGAAAAAATATGTCTGAAATAAGACTGTGTCATATAATATATAGGAAAGGGACTGTGTGATATAATACATGTGAAATAAGACCGTATTAAATAATATGTGTGAAAAGATACTGTAATATATATTTACAAACAATAATACATGTGAAATGAGACAGTGTAATATAATACAAGTGAAATGAGAATGTGTCATATAATATTTGTGAAATTAAACGGTGGGATATGATATATTTGAAATGAGACTTTGTGATTTAATACATATTAAATGAGACTGTATGAAATAATATTTTTGAAATGAGACTGTGTGATATAATACACGTGAAATGAGACTGTGTGATTTAATATATGTAAATGAGCCTTTTGTATACATAGGAAAGAGACTGTGTGATATAATACACGTGAAATGAGACAGTTTGATATAATATATGTAAAAAGATACTATTATATATATATATATATATATATATATATATATATATATATATATATATATATATATATATATATATATATATATATATATATATATATATATATATATATATATATACATACAATAATGCATGTGAAATGAGATTTTGTAATATAAGTGAAATGAGAATGTGTCATATAATACATGTGAAATGAGACTGTATGATATAATACACACGAAATTGAACTGAGGTCGTATAATAAATGTGAAATGAGACTGTTAGATATATTACATTTAAAATGAGACTATTTGACACAGTACGTGGGAAAGGAAAATGTCTCATATAAGGTTAAGATTAGCTGCTTATCCTTTACAGTTTTTAAAAGGAGTAGAAAATTATAGGGAAGAGAACAAGTTTGTAAGAAACAACAAATAGTTTATGTTAGCTTTACAAAATCGATCACAATAAACAAACAAAGGACGTTGCGGCGATTAGCTTTCATCAGCACATAAAGAACAATACAGTACACATACACAAATATACTCTAACTATGAAGTGACTACATGGGACTAATGTACACAATAAATGATACTCATTTGTGTTCCTAGCGAAAAACTTCTCTTAAAAGGATGTCAAGGACAGGTACTGGTGAATTTATCACCAACGCACGGACGGGGAGCAAAGAACGGGTACACTATAAATAGGAAATGGACGGAGTAGACGCCCACAAACAGCATACACTGAGTGTCTAAAGAGGGAGGGAGGGGTTGGCCAATAAGGCGTGACCCGGGTTGGGTCGTGGGGATGACATTGGTCCATCTCATGGAATAAAAGTGGTGCCTGTGCTAACGAACAAATACCAACAGACAGGCAGGCAGGCCGGCAGACAGGCATGCTGATAGATAGATAGATAGATAGATAGATAGATAGATAGATAGATAGATAGATAGATAGATAGA